GCTGCTGAGAGCTTGTTCAGAAAACACAAGCACAGCTCCAGGGCTGTCAGCAGACTCGACCACTGGGACACAAGGAATAGCAGTGTTCCATATCAACAATACAACAAATAGCTGAAAGACTTTCACAAGACAGTGCAGGCCAGACAGTCTTTCCAGTCCCATGCCCATATCAATGCAAGGTATGCTACCATAGGAGGGCATAAATATGTTAATTGGGCAGTTAGTCAGGAATGAAATTTCAGTTCTAGTGTTCTAGCAGTGAAGTGCTGTGATTTCATCAACATAAATGCACAAATGAAAAAAAACTGTAAACTCCACAAAAGCATCCCAAAACTCCCCTTAGAAACCCTGTATCTCATTCATCACACAAAGAACTATTAATTCTACTGAGTTTTATGCCAGGTAGAATGAAAACAACAAGCTGTAATAAGTCTGGATTTGTGTAATGCAAACAAGAGACAAAACACATTATTTGACTTCTATATACATCAGTATCTACATCTTAGAAATTTTACTCTAGTTTTCTGACTTAAGTAAACATATACTAAGATTTTACTTAAGACTTACAAACATTTCTGGTTTGGAAATGCTAGGCAGAAGGGAATAAAGCAGAATTTAAAGCTGTCTAACATGACTTTTTCTTTTTTTCTCCATCATAACAGACACACCACTCATGAAAAGAGAAAACTAAAATTTCAAGTCTGCCCTATTTCCTAAAGACACCCCTAGAAATACTCAGAAGAGAAAAACAAACCACTGTGGTCTCAAAGCACCTTGTAATTATTACAAACATGATCAAAGCAGAAAAGAAGGTTTCCATAAATCCACAGTATCCTGTCAAGTATATTTAATCCCTGAATGAGATGAAAAGAACCCAAAGAGGTGCCAAAGACTGAGCAGTTTGCTCTTCCCTCCAGACATATACACACAGACTGTCTGCTGTGGAATGCAGAGCACCACTGGCACCCTGGATACTGATGGAGAAAGTTAACTGTGGAATTCAGTAAGTGCAACTGGTTATGGACCCTTTCCACAGTTACAAAGGCAACATTTATTCCCCACATCACACATTCCACACTTTCCTCCATCAGTCAGCATCACCTAACAGCCATCAAACCAGAATCAGACCCTGTATTAAAAAAAAAAAAAAATCAAATTACAGAAATGAAGTTTCTAAACTTGGCAAACTCCAGGCAGTGACAAGTGTCACTCCACTGTGACTCAGAAGATCTAGCCCAGAGGTAAGCAAGGATGACCCAGCACCCCTTGGGTCACTCTACATATATCTAGCACATATAATTAGGAACACATGCAAAAAACATCATGTCCAGGTAAAATTAAATTTCTACATCCAAACCACCCTCTAACATTAGCTGCTCTTGCAATTGAGTTGGTAAAATTTTTGCTTGACACAAGAGAGATAAATATGGAAATCAAACACATCTATCCAGAGTCAAAAGTTTTCCAGGTCTAAATTCTTCCCCACCTTCGAAAGAAAGAGAATCCATATCCTTGTGAGTTACTGCCTACTGAACATATCAGGTGACTAGGAGCACAGCATTTCAAATCACTATTTCCCACCAACTGCCAGAAGCACTACTGAATAAAAATAAATATAACTTAACCCCAGGAATGCTATTGAGGAATGAGTGAAACTACTTTTGGCTTTTTCTTCCATACAGCCCCCCTCTCCCCCTGTTTTTGCATGTTATGGGTTTCATCTTTTTCATCACCAACTAAAAAGCAGAATTTGAATTATTTGGGAAACTATAGCCCCATAGCTCCTTGCACAGAATACTGGAGGTATGATACTCAGCACTCAGTACAGACTTACTTACAGGATCATTCACTGTTTCAGAAAACAAAGGTGGTTGTTCTGGAAAACAACACAGGATGAGCTGTGCAAATAACAGGACAAAGTAAATGCAGAAGGTGACATAACGAAATGTATCCACTTCAGCACCCTACAAAGGAAGGTAACACTCCAATTAGAAGGCTTAAGGAATTGATTTAAAACAATATGTTACCATTAAACAGAAAACCACTCCTTTCTGAAAGTCCTGCAAACTAAGTTAGTGCCACACTACTCACCCCACACAAATTAGGGGTAATATCTATTTTGGTAAAGGGAAGGTAATGAGAGGGGGGAGGATGTGAAAGATACTGTTTATTTTTATTCAGTCACTACCATAATCACACAAGCATGAACTTCTTTCTTTAGAGGAGCAAGGCATTCATGCATTGGGTTACAAGGAGTATTCAAAGCAAATTTTTTAATTGGTACACACACAGAAGATAAGAATTAGAGGAGAAGAATTTAGATTACACTTTGTTCCACTGTGCTTAAATTCAGAGGTTCTTTCATTTTTTAGACTGGGACTGATACATAACATGTCAACCACAGAAATCAAAGCACAGGGATAGATGGACACACACATCCCCCAGTAAAATCCCATTCCCAACAGCTGAAGACAAAAGTTGGCTGAAAGTTCTCAAAATTCACAACAGGGTTGAAAGGTCTCAAGAAATCAAAGTGATTTGCCATTTTCAGGTAGCTTTGCAATTAGTCTGATATTTCAGGCGGCCTTACTACAAGACACAAAAATATTTCACTTGTACACTTTCACTTTGCCCTGGCAGGTGAGACCACACCACCACCGAACAAAGTGTTTCAGGAAATCCACGGTATAATAACAGGAAGGTGACGTAAACTCCCAGTTAAAACAGTTTCATATCAAAGATTATCCACTTTCAGTGTACTCAAGCAGACACATCCGCTTTCTCCAACAGCCAGAAAAATTTTCTTGGCCATTGTTGCTACAGGTAAAATCCCTCTGAATTCCACTAGCAGTGCAAAACAGGAGTCATTAAGTTCTGATTGTTTTGCTGTTATAACCCAAGGTACCCTGAATGAATCATTAACTGACTTGACTGGCATAATTAGCAAGCAACTGCTCTATTACTGCAGCATTTCAGATTATTTTCAACTGAATGAGGCTAAAAATCACTTACCATATTTAAGGCATGTTTTATTTTGGATATCAAAATCACTGTGGCACATAACAATGAGATAAACCAGAAAATTGTCATTACTCCTGAAGATTGGACTCCTTTTATTCTTTCATATTGTATTAAATATGTGGCAACCAACTGTGAACAAATAAGACAAAAATATACTCATAAGTTTTACAATACGTTATGCACATATTAAAGGTACTGTGCTAAAGTGTGCTTATTTAAAATTTCTAATCCAGTATGTCCCACACATACTAACACCCTGAAGTTTTAAGTGTAATTCAAAAATACACTTAAATAGGAAATTCTCTGTATCAGTAAAGAAGTGGACAAAAAAAAAAAAGGAATATGTATTACCTAGAAATAAATGATCACATACACAAAAGTGCTGTCAAAAGTTGTTTTTACAATAAAAAGATTTCTTTCCATATAAGCCACAATGCCAAACAACCCTGACCAAGTATTACTCTACTTCTGTATTTTGTGTGTTTTCAGAGTCCTTTAAGAAGCTGGTACATCTCACTTGGCTGCTGACACACCATTTTCAATCAGCCTGACAAAAGCTTGACAATTGCATTATTAAATGACCACAAAGTACTTAACAGCTCTTGCATTTGTCAGGGCTGTTGGGTGGGGTTTTTTTGTTTGGTTGTTGTTGGAGCTGTGGTGTCCCACTCTCCCCCTTGAGCATCTTGTTTAATCACTACCACTCCAAGTCCACGATAAATGTGACAACAAATGAATAGCAAGGCATTTTCCTTGAAATGCAGGCTGCAGAGATACTGGTGTGGAAGCAGACAATAGTTGTGGATCTAGGTAGAAAGAGTTAGCTGGGGACACCTGTGTGACTCATGGCATTTAGGATTTCCACTGTGCCAGGAAGTGTAACAAAGAAAACATGCCCTAAAGAATGTTACATGCAAGAGAGTTTGTAATAAGATACTTAATAATGCAATGCCTTTGACTGTCTTCCACCAAGTTCAGTGGTTTGTATTATCTAGGCTGAAACAGTATTCTTTGAGCTGATTCCTTCATCCCATGCTTGAGTCAAACTATTAAATAAATGGTAGCTCAAGCCTACCAAAATAAGGCAAGACAACTAGCACTGCCTTATGTTCTGATGTGCAACACACTGAGCACTGCTGGGCTGGAGGGGGTTTTTTTCCTAATTTTTTTATTAAAACACAGCAGACATTTCAGTCAACTGCAGTTCAGCTGCAGAATAAGTCTGTATATAAAGGTTGTAGCTTAAAGAATTACAACACTGTGAGTAATATCAAGATGGTGTTACTGCTTATGGTTTTGCACGAACAGTGGTCATGCAGAAGAACTTACCATTGTTATACCCAATACTGTAGGGCTAATGAGATAAAATGGAGCTCGAGAAATTTGACTTCTTTCCCAGAAAGAGTAGAAAAGGTCTGCCCAGCAGACTATCCACAGTATTAAACCCAAAGCCTGCAACAGAGAAGTGTCTTTAATACATCAGTTCACACAGATAATGCAGCACAACAGATGAACACTAGATGTTATATGTTAGTAGAAATATTCAGATCATGTCCTTTGGGCAATTCTACAACATACACAAAAGAAAAACAACTTGGCCTTGAGACTGAGTTGCCTAAAATAGTCTTCTCCAACCGGTCTTACACAGGATCTACATGTCTGTTACTATGCCAGAGTAAATTTCAAAAAGCCTAATAAAAGGGCAAGGGAAACATAAGGCTTGGAAATCAAACACAGGGAGAACAAGTAAGTTACAGCTGAAGTGTACATGCAGGCCAAGAATGGTGCTCAACAAAAATACTGTGCTAAAACACTGCTGAAAACAGATTCAAACTTCCAGATCAGCTCAGTAAGTCCTGATTTTAAAACGTCAGGTACCGTTTTGGCTTTGTTAAGGTTGGACATCTGTATGTATCCCCTGTCATGACGGCGAAGGTACAGGTAGTACACTGGGAAGCAGATCCACAGGTAAGTGCAAGGAATCCAGACCAGGACTGTGTTCTGAAAGCATGGGGTGAAATCTGGATCTTCTGTGTGCCATGTCAGATTCCAATCCTGGGGCAAGAAAACAGGATGAGTTAAAGAAACAGCAAACACTGAACTTCGATATTTAAAAGTCAGAAATAGCCGCTATCAGCCTTATTCTGTATCTCTTGTGCACTTATTTATACTTGTATTAAACTGGCTCCATTCTGTGATGCATCTAATTTTATTGCACTTTTTGTAGCTCAGAAGTTTCAAACCTTCACAAGATGCCAGTGTCACTTTTGTGGTTATACACAGCTACCATAACATACAGCTCACTCGAGTGTAATAGGGATCCTCAACAGGACTTACCAGGATCTTTAACAGCACTCATCAAGAATTTTCACATTATCATTGCAAAAAAAACACGACAGTGCTAGCTACCTTCCACTATAACCACTGTGCATCACATGTATGTTTAAATATTCAGATACACTGCATTCCCAGATTTCCACGTGCAAACATTATCTGGCACACAGTAAAAGTGAATGGCACAAGACAATATCATGCCAGTATTTGTAAAGCATAGCTCCCAAGCTGTCTGCAGCAAACCCAGTTGAGGATTCACAACAAGGCATACAACTAAGTAAAAGGCTCACTCCTGCAGCTTATCTCCTACTCAACAACAAGAGAATGTAAATCAATATAATTCAATGTTTTCCTATTTTTCTCAACACAAGTGTCAAAACCAAGACAAACAACCATACAGTCAAACCAAAACTGACACAGTAATAAAAATGTGATCCCCATTTCCAGTACTGGTACAAGGACTATTTACAAATGATTACTGTTTAATAAATGAGACTGTTTAATAAAATGAGCTTTCGTATCATATTTATGCTTGCTCTCAGTTAGGAAAATCTCTTGCAGCAAATTTTACCTTAAAATTACTGACTCTGCTGAAAAATTATCAAAAGAGACACTTCCTCTCAAGTGCCATAAATTTTTGACTGTCCAACAGAACAATGCAATACAGAAATACTGTTGCTGCAGACGGACTGCAATATTGGACAGGTGAAACATCACTCACGAGCCTCTGTTTAAAAGCCCCACAGCCAAGAGCAGCAGTCCCAAGCCCAAAGCCTTGTTAACTATACTATCATGTTCAGTGGCAAAGCATTTTTTCAGACAGTTGCTCAGCTTGCACCACCAGTACCACTACTGGGACATAATGACAGTCAGTAATCCTTCTCCTCTATAAAAGCCTGAGCTAGTCACAGAAATAAGTGCCATTATCCACATTTTATAGATGAGGAAACAGAACCAAAAGGAGCTGTAGTGCCTGTCCCCTCTATTCCAACATCAAAGCTGAAACCAGATCCCACTGCTCAGAATCACCACACTTTGATCTTTGTTTGTCCCCATCTTCCACTGATTAAACAGTTTCAAGCACAATTACAAACAGAACATAGATCTAAAGAGAAATGGAAGATGTATTTGCCTTCCCCATTTCCCTCAATTTCTGTCAGAATCTAAGACTTCTTTCCCAGTTAGATACCACAGACTGTATGCACAGGACACTCACTGTTATTTTGCTCCTCTAATTCCACAGCATGCTAAAAATTCTTCTCACTTCATATCATTTTTAATTTTCCAGTTTTTAGAAAAAGAAAATCTCTGAACTTACTACAGCTAATTCAAGGGAATTCACATTGCCCAATTATGTTTTAATGTATCTGCAGAGGGGTCACATAAGCTGTTCGTGACCAGGCAGTGCCTGCAAGACACTGTGGGCAAGCCACATGCTTATTAAGTTTCCTGACTGCATAACTCATCAGAAATTTCAGCTGAGTCATCCTTACATTTAGCCACCACACAAATGTTTTCGGCTTTCCAAGTCCCAGCTGCTCCACTACAGCACAACAGCCAAGAAAAAGTCTCATGACTCTGCAGAACAGTTTACAATTCACAAATTAAGACAGTTACGAGATTATACAAGTAAATCGACAGGATGTAATCAGCTTTACCACAAACAAACAAGAGCATTTTATTGAGTAAACTTCTGGAGATCTACACACTGCTTAAGAAAGTTACTAACTCCTTCTGCAGTGTTTGTAAATGCTTGCTGTAAAATGAATCAGGAAAGCACCAGAGAGGTCAGAGCAGGTAATGCACATGTCACTGCCACGTGGCGAAATAAAAGCAAGAAGTGCTGTATGCATGACTGCTATGCATATTGGCTGGAGGACATTCTAAAAACATGTGCAACCTTTCATTTGACTTTCTTATTTGCAAGTTATCTGGAGGTGTTTGTTTCTGCATAAAATGCAAGAAGGATGGGACAAACAGGCAATTTTGGTTCAAACTACCTGCTAGAATTTAACAGCTGCAGCAACATCAGTGTATCTTCTTTCGTACTTTTTCCAGGATTTGATCCAGAGACTGTTGCTATCAAGTAGGAGCATGCTTAGCTTAAAATCCACTTTTCCTCCCAGTACAAGAGAAATGGCAACACACAGGTGAGATGCAGAGGCTGCTTCCATTTTACACTCATTTCAGGTGAAAAAGACAAGGAATGCATGAAGAGAGACACGGCAGTGTTATTCCTGCTGTCTCCATAGGTGCAATTCCCTCAGGCTGTGTCTACACAAGGCAGGAGCAGAGACAGGGATGGGGTTGTAGACACAATACTTGCTGCTGAGCAACAGCCTCACGAGTTTCCTCTCACTCAGGTCCACACCAATTGAAGTTGCAGGCTCTGCTGCAGACTGACCATCTGCCACTGGAGCACATTTCCCAGTTACCACCTGTGCAAGAGCCACTGGAGCACATTTCCCAGTTACCACCTGTCCAAAAGTCACTCAGGCCACACTTGAGAGACCCAACAAGCAGGACAGGGGACTGTCAGTAGGTCACATCAGCAGCATGCTCCCAGCCTGAACCGAGGTGTTGATGCCCTCAGAGGACAAAATCAAGAGGAACTCAATTCATTACAGAAGACAGGCATAGCCCAAGCTCTGCATGGAGGATACCACAGCTTTATGAGATTCAACTGTAGCTGGAAAACACGTCACACTCATCATGAAACCAACATGCATTCATATTCAAATCATCAGGTTCAGTTACACAAGTCTAGACCAGTTCTGCCAGTATAAAGTACATGCTTCTCTTTTGCTTTATATAAACCCAGTTTCAGTTTTATTTTTTTCCATCAAAACCAAAAATCCTTCATGGAACAATGCAGAAACATTCACTGAAGCAGACCCTTGTATTTAACAGACATTAATTAGCAAATTAACAACATTTTTCCTGACTCAAGTTTTATTTGGCAAGTTCTATTAAAGCACAAAGCTGCCCCATTTTTCACATCTCAAAGATTAATAATTTTCACTCTGATTGATCAGTTAACCATTCCACTTTGCAAGGTCACAACAAATGACAGAGATACAACTATCCACTGAAAGCCTACACAAACCAGCAGATTCCTGCCATGAAGGAGGAAAAAAGGAGTTGAGGTCTATAGCTCTTAGACTGTACAATCAGAAACCAGCCTTTATTTTGAGCTATGACTGCAGGAACCCACTGGAGAAGAATCAGTCTGATCCTTGTTCCTTTCTTACTACATGTTGGGAGAGAAGAGATCTGCTGTTGGCTTAGTTTTAGCCTAGTCCAGAAAAAACACATCTCAGATGTTAAATAATTTCAGACTTTTTTTCCTTTCAAAAATTCCTCGACAATTTTAAAGTTTCCCAGAATAGCAAACGAGTATTTTTAAATTTATCTGACCTGTTTCTCAGTTTTCATTTTCACCACCAGCACTGTGGCTGAAAAATACTGGTCCACAGTTTTTGTGCCCTGTAGCAGGTTTTCTCTCATGGCACGAAAAACCTTCCTATCACATCTAAAGTGAAAACCTCTATCTACAAGAAGGGCACAACAAAATTCTTGGCATTCTCCAGAATCAAATGACCTGGTTCTATTCACAGGTAAACCACTTATTTAACAGTGCATAAACCCTAGCTAAATTAAGAACTGTATTAACTCCTGTCTAAAATTTCAGGAGCAGGCAAGATAAAAACACTGGCAGCACGAATGTGAGACAAAGGTGTAACACAAAAGATCAGTTATTGTGCCTGAGCTGAGGGAAGGCAGAGCACAGGGAAGCTGTTATGCCTCCAGGATGCCTAACCTGAGGAATAACAGCATTTGACACTGGACAGGCAGCCAGGAAAGGCTGTTAAGCGAGCAGCCAGTGGCTGCTTGTTCTCACATCAATAATCCCACTTGATCCACAGCACATTTTAAAATTTTCACTGGCAGAAATGAAGAGACCAAAACTGCTCACTTGCATGCCTGCTGTGTGCAAGTGTGCTGGAGATGTAGGCTGCCAGTACACTGTTAAATCCACCTGCATGAACCAACTGTGACAGAAAAATTACTTAAACATTACCACACACCTGTGTAAAAAAATGAGATTACAAAACCACACTGGAATCTTAATATCATGGCCAACACTTACTCTTTCAAATGGAGTTCAACACTGACATTGGTGTGTACCCATTACTTCAGTATCACCCACCTCCTTTGTCATACCAAGATATGGTTTCCTCAATCTTATCTTCCTAACAGTAAAAAACACTTTTCATTTAATGCAATGCTTACATTTTAGTTGAGTGCAAGTAATTAGCTCTCTCAGGCAGTAACACCATAATTGCAGCTGACAACTTTCATTTTAATAATATCATCACTTTCCCACTGAAATCGGAAGTCCCACAATCTGGCAGCTCTCGTATTAAAAAATTCCCCAGTGTAGCACCTATAAACCCAAGAGCTGACTCAACCATTCTCCTCAGGGTAGGCTGAAAGCTGATGGCCTCATGGCATCCATCTAGGACAGCAAATTTCCTGCCTGCCTCTCCCCAGATAGGAGATTTGGCAAATCTGGCTGAGCCTAGAGGAGCTGCATCAGTGGGCAACAGGGTGAGGGGAGGTGCAGAAAAGGTCCTCTCTCTTTAAGGTTGCTTTAAAGGAATTCTCACCTTGTTTTAAAAAAGTCCATGATACCTGATGCAGCTTCTTCATTCTCTCAT